ATTCGCGAAGCAGCTACTCTTGAGCTGTTAGGTCTCCTTCGGAGGCGCTCGGGTAGCTGTTAGCAAATCCCACCCCTCCTGGCTGAGCCTTTGCTCGCCCACGTGTCCTGGTGAAACTGGAAAGGCCTCCGGGCCACCAGTAATCTTTCAATCATAAAAAAAAAAAAAATTGTGTACATAATAATATGTATATGATGATCTGTGATCATTTTACTAAACTAATTACTATCCATAATCTCGTTTTACCATCGCAACGGTCCGCCACCGGAGTAAAGTTCATCCATACTACCACTGCGATCATCCACAGTGCGTTCCCAGAGATCTTTATTGCCACGTACCATCCGGCTTTGGAATGAGCTCCCCTCCACGGTGTTTCCCGGGCGCTATGACATGTCCTTCTTCAAACGAGGCTTGTGGAGAGTATTAAACGGTAGGCAGCGGCTTGGCTCTGCCCCTGGCATTGCTGACGTCCATCAGCGACGGTAACCACTCACCATGAGTGGGGTGGTATGCTCGTCTACTGCTGCTATAAGAGCAATAAAAAAAAACAGTTACAAGTTTGCGAAACTTAACATTATTGTTTTTGATTTTTTACGTTCTATGTGTTGTCGTCTCAGAATTAGGTTTTTATTTGCAGCCACTTCTTCTGGTCTCGACGTTCATTTCTACCACTAGGCCGCTGAATATGGTTCTTTAGAATATAAACGTATCTGTCCGTCTTGAGACAGCGAAAGGTACCGACAGTCGCTCAGCATAGAAGTCCTATTCACCGCAATGCATCACGCGTCAAACGTTCAATCACAACATAGACTCAACAAAATCAATATCGTTAAAAAAAACATGAAGGTACACTGGTGACGGCATCTGTTACCCGCCATTATGCGGGTTTATGGTAATCGCTTCTAAAATTCTGACTCTTTGATAATCGATGGGCTACTTTTTGATATTGTAATAAATTCCTCCTTTATTTTTCGTTTCGGTCGATATTGGAAATTATACTTAATGGAATTAGTTATTTCAACCCGGTTAGCATTTATCTTGTTTTATTTGAATAATCCGCGATTTAGAAGGTTTCCGGTGATTGTAGACATCACAAATAGCCCGAAGCATGAGAAAAGAAATTATTGTAATATGGCCATTCTAATCTTTAAGCAGAAACGAATAAAAACTTTCGGTAGAAGTATGTATGACGGAGACACCCACCAGAGCGGACCGATATTGTAGAAGGGTGCATGTGGACATCAGACGGGACTTGTCAATAAGCAGTTAAGGGCTACTGCTCCATTAGTGGCATGTTTCAAGGAGGAATGCAAATTTAAAGCCCACTTAGTTTTTCGCCGGATCTCCTCAGTGGGTCGCAATTCAGTGAAGCACTACTCTTGAAGCACTACTTTTTTTCAACAAGATCCCACTAAACGTTCAACTACTACCTGTTCATAGATTTAAGAAAACTGTTAAGGAACGTTTGTGCAACAAGGCATATTATAAAGTTAAGGATTATTTACTAGATGGCACTACGTGGGAATGAGGCGCTCGCTCCTGGCCTTTTCATTTTTCATTATTATTATTATTTTTTTAATTGTATTTTTTTGANACGTTTGTGCAACAAGGCATATTATAAAGTTAAGGATTATTTACTAGATGGCACTACGTGGGAATGAGGCGCTCGCTCCTGGCCTTTTCATTTTTCATTATTATTATTATTTTTTTAATTGTATTTTTTTGACTTGTTTTTTCTTTTATTGTGAATATTTCTATTTATTTAAAAAAAAGAAAATATTTGAGAAAAAACAAAAAAAAAAAAAGGCCGCTGAGTTTGTTTCGCCGGTTCTTCTCAGGACTGTGGCTTTTTTTGGAACCGGTGGTAGAGTTAACATTGTTATTTGTATTTTGACATTCAACAAGTGTGTCATACTGACATCTAAGTTGAAATAAATGATTTTGAATTTGAACTTGCTAGGGCTAGTGTTAGCAAATTCTCTCAGGTTGGACGGGTAGCTGAGCTCACATACCCGTCCGAACGTAGCTAAAATAGTCTCCTAGGCTACCAGCGAATAGATACAAAAAACAAATATGTAATATTGATCGAAAAGACTAGACTCTAATCTTTTTTCTATATAGGAAGGAAAAGATTACTGGTAGCCCCACGGAATAGATAATATCTATTCCGTGGGTAGCCCGAAGGCCTTTCAAGTTTCACCAGGACAAGTGGGCGAGCAAAGACTCTTCCAGGAGGGGTGGGATTTGCTAACTGCCCGAGCGCCTCCAAGGGAAACCCAACAACTCAAAAGCAGCTGCTTCTTCAATGAATCTACTACCTACCAAGATTATTCTTCGGTAATTTTTACAGTTTTCTTGAATCGTGTAAATTTGTCAACAGGTTGTCGTCATGGGCAGCAGCACGACCTCGGACAAGACCATCAACACGAGCACTGATTCAGCGGCCACTGCCCTCACTTCCATCACGGGAACAGATGATTCCATGGACGCCGAGCCTGAACCTCCCGAGCTACCACACAACCCTCCAAGCCTTATCGACGCAGAACCCATCCAAAACCCTCCAAGCACCGCCCCGCCACATTACCACAGACCCCAGAATAGCTGTGACATTGACTCCCCTGCTTACACAAAACCTCAGTCGGCCACAGAGGTCCTAGACTCCCCAAGGCCAGGCCCAGCCCGTTTCATTTTTGACGTTCCACTTCCAGATCCTCGAAAAGCAGATAAAACGCGTAACAAAACCCAAGTGACTCAAGTGGGCGCCTCGACATCCGTTAAAAATTCTTACGACCAAAAAATAGAACCTCCTAAAAGCCCTAAAATTACGCAGAACAAATACGAAACGCATTTTAATTTTGAACCTGACCCCGCGAAGAGGAGAGGCAGTGAACCTCGCGTGAAAAAGAAAGAGAAAGAGTATTACAAGGACGAAGTGGCCAAGTTACGGAGACAGTTGGAAGGGACGGAAGTCTTTGCGACTAGCAGAAGAAGATCTTCGACGCACCAACATTCTGTTCCACCGCCGTCTTCTAGGAGACAGTCCACAGGTATTACTTTATTTATTAGCTACGATGGGCAGCCTAGATATTGCATACCTGGTATTAAGGCATTATTTATGCCCACACATGATCACATAATTACTGAAGGCCCATCTTTTAAACATGAGATTTTTATTCTTAATTGCTTTGCTAAGTGAACATCATACCTAAAAGCCTTTGGTTCTGCATTCCGCAACATTTCTCCCCAAAAATATTAAGAATAGTGATAACCGTGCTCGTTTGAATGACAACCCCGTCTCCAGGACTTAAGATACGCAATATCGATTTACTACAGACGGATGATAAAGAATTGGTACCAGTGGGTCCATTCACCGTTGTCCTACACATGCTCTGATATGTACCCGGCCTATAACAACGTCCTCCATGCAACAATTCCAAGTGCGTAATTTCTAAGTAGTTATATAGGAATCTTCGCCTGGTCTATTTGTAGCAAAGTTCATCTGAGGCCAGCTATTTTATTAATGATTTTTAATATTAAACATGTTAATATGAAATGAAAGACTCACCACCGTACTGTCAATTTTGCCTCAAAGCTCTAGTGCGTGCCGCTTTCTATCTACTTACATTAACTTACTATAACAATAAGGGTTGTACAATAAACAACTTAGTGTTTTTTGGTAAATTTTGAAAATCTACTAAACTCTGAAATAATTATGCCAAATAAAAACCAAAGTCTATAACTGTGTTATTAAATCATAACCCTTCGGCAGCAGCCCAGGTCCACGTCACAGCCAACCCGTTGGACTCAGCAGCTACCACCATCCCAGCCGGCAGGACCACCATCGTAGTCCAACAACCATCTCTGTCGTTGGACTACGGAGGGTGCTCCACGTTCCTAGTTAGAGAAGGCGAAGATGGAAGGAGAAAAAGTAGGATCTGCACTGACCACCTGCAACAGCTCCTTGACGTGACCAGCCAGTTCACGTCGGAAGACTTGCATGAGTTCGACAAGAGGTATGGCGCCCTTTATTTGTTAAATTAAAGAAGGCTATGTGCAATTATATTTACTAGAGGTCCCGCAGTAGTCGAAATTCGACTATAATTAGTTGGAATTGTAAGTTTGTACACTATTATGATTGTATTTTATACTTCTATAATCACAAATTTTGCCAAGACTACACTATAAAAAATATTAACAAAGACAAACAATATTTAATCTATTCTCAATTTGACAACAGACGTCAAGACAAAAGTTTGATAATAAATAGTATGCATGCGTGTGTGCGTCAAATACATGGTAGTGTGTGTAATGTTTTCTTTATTGATTTAATGTATTTTTATGCATTATTTTAAAAAAATATTAGCATTGTGCACTTCTTCTCTATATTCTCTATAAGTGTAGAAAATTTCATACTCCTCTGTCCGCGCAATTTTCGTAAAAAGGGATACAAAGTTTTTGCTTCACGTATTAATATATTTATAAATAGTTTGATATCTTTTTATTGAAAATTTGATTTGAAAATTCCAAATTATGAATAGCTTCAATTATTGATCGCTAATGTCTATAGAATCCATTAAGAACAAGATTACTTTAAATAATCAAAAACTGTATCAGAGTGCCCCATATTAGACAAAAATACACGAATCCTTTGAAAAACTTCCTAAGTTTTCCGGAAAGCAAGTCTGTGAGCATATGTGGTCGTTCCCATAGTACAGGGTATCATTGTTTGGGACCAGCTGTCGTGTATGATTAGTCTCTAACTAATTACATATTTACGTACATATTATGTATGTACATATGTATACAATCGTAGATCAACAACAGTACTTATTACTCTGCATTTTATTACGTACAGTAATTACACCCAGCAGTGGACACGAGACCGGGTTACTCGTTTGTAAGTTCAAAACAGAAAACTTTCGACTGATAAAAACTCACCTCATAAGTTCGACACTTGAAGCTTAAAGAAAGTTGCAAGAAAAAGCGAGCAGCAATCTTTCTTTTTTTTTTAACAAAAGATAAAAGGTATCTTTGAAGATTATTCGGCTCATTGTCGCGGCGCTGCGACGACTAAGAAACTTTTTTAATTTCAAACGTTTTTTTTACTCAGAGCTTTTTACGGGTAACTTCATTTTTCACAGAAGCTTTTCATGAGCTCTCATAATTACTGTAGCTTTTCCGAAATTCAAATTCAGTAAGAGCAATTATGAGTGCGCGTGTTTGCTGACATCGCGTTCATTATTGGCTTCAATGGTGGCGAGGGTACAGTCTGCCAGTGGTGACCATTCACCGTCGCCCATCAGCAATGGCAGGAATAGGGTTTAGTTCCTCAGCGCCCTGACCTATCCCACACACTAATGCTACAATGCTATACAATTATCCCACCAAAGGGTTGCAAGATTAAAGTGGCAGTGGGCAGAACACATTGCTCTTGCATTGCTAGAATAGATGGCCACTGGAGACAAAAAGCTCTCGAGTGGCGACCGTGGACTGGAAAGGGCAGACTGGGTAGGCCTCCCATGAGGTAGACCGATGACCTGCTAAAAACTGCGGGAGCTCATTGAATTCAGGCTGCGTAGGACCGGCAGGGGGCTATGTCCAACAGTGAACGTACTTGGACAGAAAAAAATACAATAATATTAATATGTGTCTTTCCTGATAAAGGCACTAGGTGGGCTCGACACACAAAACATGTTAGACTTTCATTTGGCTTACTGTTTAACGACGGTCGCCTATCTCATTGGTCTCTGGTGGCTCTGATAGTACTACGCATTCGGATTTTGATTTTGTTTGTTGGCTCGGTATCCTTGTAAACGGTTGGAGCCCTACATACGGCCCTACGATCGCGGGGCTGGCAACAACTCTGTAATATCAAGAGCTCCGTGCTTATGAAGATCGTGGTAAAATACAATCAGCCGCTAGTAGATGTAATCGTGATCTTAGTGCTCCTATCTCGCAAGCGTGGTTCCGACCCCAGTATATGAAGACGTGCCTATTGGGGCTTGGATGTGGGAAGGTCAAGTCGACAACTCGTTGATTGACGGACTCCTGTGCCCACATCTTCCATGTAAAGATAAATCAAATTAGAGCCTCTCAGATGTTTGTAAGTAAAATAACACTCACTGAATTATCTTGTGTCGTGTCTAATTCGTTTCCCTGTCAGTCGTTGGTGCGCCCCGCTGAACATACTAACGTTTCTTGTGTAAATAAACGTAAATATAATTAATTAGAAGACACAAGGTTATGTTTATTTATTATATTGATTGGAGAAGGAGCTCACAGCTAACCTAGGTCACGGGTCACTGGGCTCAATAACATCAACTCAGAAATTTTAATTATATTGTGAAACGGCCGTTCCACACTTCGATTCAGAATCAACCTATTGCTTGGGCCCGTGGTCTGTTCCCAACACCAGCAGATCGTCATGTCCCATACACCCCGTGTGCGCCTTTAGTGCGGACAGCTCGTAAGAGGTTCAGCTTCCTGCCCGAAAAAAAAAGAAGGTGATTAACCAATTCTTAAAGGCTTACAACCAAAAATTAACCAATTTTGTATTTTTTATTTATAGCTTAGGTGGGTGGCCGAGCTCACGGCCCACTTGTTAAGTGGTTACCGGAACCCATAGACATCTACAACGTAAATGCCGCCACCCACTTAGAGATATACGTTCTAAGGTCTCAGTATAGTTACAACGGCTGCCCCACCCTTCAAACCGAAACGCATTACTTCTTCACAGTAGAAATAATGGGCAGGATAGTGATACCTATCCGTGCGGACTCACAAGAGGTCCTACCACCAGTAATTACACAAATTACAAATGTTATTCCTTCACCGTGAAAGTCAATCGTGAACATTTCTTATATACGTATTTCATTAGAAAAATTGGTACCCGCCTGCGGGATTCGAACACCGGTGCATCGCTTCAACTCGAATGCACCGGACGTCTTATCGTCTATGCCACGACTTACATTTTAAATTATTAAATTAAATTATTTGATTATAATAATTTTAATTTGACTACACGATGCTATACGTTCATTGTGCAAGTCATTCGTAACCGCACGACACTATTTCTGCCTATTTCTGCCGTGAAGCAGTAATGCGTTTCGGTTTGAAGGGTGGGGTAGCCGTTGTAACTATACTGAGACCTTAGAACTTATATCTCAAGGTGGGTGGCGCATTTACATTGTAGATGACTATGGGCTCCAGTAACCACTTAACACCAGGTGGGCTGTGAGCTCGTCCACCCATCTAAGCAATAAAAAAAAAGCAGACTGTTTCATATCCTTCACATGGCTTATTGTGTTTCCCGTAATATTATTATTCGAAGCAACATTAATTTGAAGTCTCGCAAAACAATTACGAATTCCGTAGCTACGTTTGAGTCGGGCGGGAAAATTTTGACAGCTGACATTTGTCAAAAACAAACACGTGATCCCGCCTCGTTAGCGTGCGGGGTTTTTTATTTTTTGTCGTTGATGTACAAACCGTCCCTCAGCCGACCTGTTTTAAGCGGTTTTAGGCTTTTAAGGAATAGGCATCACCACATCTGGAACGCTACCTTGGGTTTTGTATCTTAAAATCCATACATAGTCCGTCCTAAATTCTATTCTACTTGGCTTTTCTTAAATAGTCATGCGATTCAGAGCTACCTGTAAAATTAAATCCGCCTAGACTATCGCGCTTCAATGAGAACGGTATAGTTGGCAACGGCTTGGCTCTGGCATTGCTGACGTCCATGAGCGACAGTAACCACTTACCAGCAGGTGAGCCGTCAGCTGGTCTGCTTACAAAGGTAACACATCACCCAACACATCTACTAACACTTGACAGATCGTTGACGAAGCTAAGTAATGACGCAACCTGCCCAATTGCGCCAATAGGGTCCGCCGCACGGGCCCCTAAAACAATTTATTTCCTCCGCATTCGTTATGAAACAACGCGACTTTTATAAAATTCTCAGAAGGTTTCATTCTGGTAAAATAAATTACATTTCCAAGTTTAAGTACAATTTTCGAGATAATTTTTTTCGGTAGATAAGAAGAGGATTTGAAAAACACAATTTATTTATTATGAGAGCCTGCAGCAAATACATACAACACGCGTAGATTACAAAAACTAGAAGCCAATAAAAGTTTATGCAAGTAACCTGTTCAGATTATGTGCAATGAAGGAATCTAAATGATTGGCGTGTTTACTTACATCACTAGCTCCTCGCCACGTGTCGGCACCGTTGTGGATACACTGACCACACACCTCAAGCACCGGTCACCGTTCTCGTCGAACCCATCGCCTGAGAGGAAAGGCTCGACGAGTAAATTAACGCATAGACACAGCCCACTGAGTTTCCCGCTGGATCTTCTCAGTTGGTCGCGTTTCCGATCCGGTGGTAGATTCTGCGAAGCACTGCTCTTGCTAGGGCCAATGTTAGCAACGCTTCCGGATTGAGCCCCGTGAGCCCACCTACACGTCAAGAAGAAGCTGAAATAGCCTCTCAAGGCTATCAGCATAGGTAGGAATAAAAAAAAGGATACTCTGGAAGCGCGTTCCCGAACCAATTTTGTTTCCCGGGTTAAAGGGTACCAGCGCCAATCTAACATCCATCTTATGTTTCAAAGTGAGCGGCGACATTTACTCTGACAGATGGGCTCGCCTCGAGATGGACCGCCAGCTCACTCACCATTGCCAACAACTATTAGAAATGTCCAAAATTGTAAAATATCTAATTATAAAATTGATTAATTCGTGTTTCGTTTCCCCTGTCCTGGAAAACACTCAATCGAGTGCCCAATTTCATCGAATTTCCGTTTTTATTTCCGTCGACGGCAAGTTTCCTTGAAGCCGTATAATTTAAAACATTGTTAAATGACGTCCTATGTAAACGTCTCGATCAGTTTGAGAACGTAACTGAGTCTTTATATTCATTTTATATTCATGATTGATTTCAGAAAAAATATATCTTGCTTGCTTGTAGTGCCTAAAAGCACCGTTAATGGATCAGGAGGATCCGTGA